CTTGTTGATTCTACATTGTCTTAGAAGTTATTGCCTATTAGTAAAAGATCAACCTCATCAAATATTATTCCATTATATGGATGTCTTCTAATTTATTTTATGCTCTAGTTAAATAACCAGGACACTTAGGATGTTTCCAGTTTGCCAGGAACATCATGTCCATCCCTTACATGAAAGAATTACTGGGTGACTACTCTGTGCTTTATTTCCCTTCTTTCCTTCCTTCTTTTGTTTAGTACATTTTATTGCAGTATAGCATAGACATAGAAAAGTGTAAAAACATGTACAATTTAATGAATTTTCATTCCGACCAAGAAACAAAATATTTGCAGAATCCCAGAAGACCTTTCTTCCAGCTTCTAGTTGCCTCTTCTTTGACCCCCTGCACAGGGTAATCCTTATCATGACTTCTTAACATCACTGGTCGTTTTTGCATTTTTGCACGTGTTGAAACTTTTACAAAGAGCGTACAGTGTATTCAATTTGGGGCCTGGCTTCTTTCACTCAATGTGTTGGTGCCTGTAGTTGCAATCTGTTTGTTCTTGTTGTAGAATATACCACAATCTATTTATCCATTCTTCTGTTGGTGAAGATTAGTGTTTCCAATCTGAGGCTACTGTGAAGAAAACTTGTAGGGAGCGGGTTGTGGCCAGCAGGGCCCCCAAAGCCTGGGAAATGCTCAAGAAGCGACCCCCAACCACTCTGCTCCTTCAATAACATTCTTTCCATCTGCCAGAAATCAGGTAGCCCACGCATACTTTCCTTATTATTGGCAAGCACACAGTTTTCTGTCTTTAAGATTGATCTCTACCCCATGTGTTAAGATTTATGCAACTTTTTTTTTTTTATTTTTTGAGACAGAGACTCAAGCTGTCACCCTGGGTAGAGTGCTATGGCATCATAGCTCACAGCAACCTCCAACTCTTGGACTTAAGTGATTCTCTTGCCTCAGCCTCCCAAGTAGCTGGGACTACAGGTGCCTGCCACAACACCCGGCTATTTTTTTTGTTGTCGTACCTTTCATCGTTTTAGCTGGCCTGAGCCGGGTTCAAACCTGCCACCCTCGGTGTATGTTGCTGGCGCCCTAGCCACTGAGCTACAGACACCACCCATTTATGTAACTTTTTAAAGACACTGTATAAATAAAGCTGTTTCTACGGTTCAGGTGCTGGCTGCGACCATAGCTGTATCAGTCCTCCTGATGCCATCCTACCTCTTGTCTCGTGTATGTTTTGTTCTCGTGTGGGTGTTCCTGTTCTCAGTTGCCCACCATTTCCACTCAGGTCAACTCTCCCTTCTGGCACCAGGTTGCAAGAGGTCACTCTCTTGTGCCGGTATGCAACAAAAACTGCTATGAAAATTCTGATACGTAGGCTGGGCACAGTGGCTCACACCCGTAATCCTAGCACTCTGGGAGGCTGAGGTGGGTGGTTGCCTGAGCTTATAGGTTTGAGACCAACCTGACCCAGATCTCATCTCATCTCTAAAAATTGTTGGGTGTTGTGGCGGGTGCCTATAGTCTCAGCTACTTGGGAGGCTGAGGCAAGAGAATTGCTTGAGCCCAGGAGTTTGAGGTTGCTGTGAGCCGTGACGCTATGGCACTCTACTAAGGGTGACAAAGTGAAACTGCCCCCCCCCCAAAAAAAACAGTACTAAATGAAAATTCTGATATGTGGATATGGGCATTTTTATTTGGCAAGATACTGTCACGCCCTCCAAATGTGCTTTCACCCTCATTTACCCCACCACCACAAACAGACTGCAAAGCCAATTCCCTATTTCTTTCTTTTTTTTTTGAGACAGTGTTCCACTATGTCACCCTTGGTAGAGTGCTGTGGCATCACAGCTCACAGCAACCTCAAACTCTCAGGCTTAAGCAATTCTCTTGCCTCAGCCTCCCAAGTATCTGGGACCATAGGCACCTGCCACAACACCTCGCTATTTTGTTGTTGTTGTCGTTGTTGCAGTTGTTTAGTTGGCCCAGGCTGGGTTCAAACCCACCACACTCAGTGTATATGGCTGGCGCCATAACCACGGTGCTACAGGCACTGAGCCAAGTTCCCTATTTCTTGTTTGTTTTTGAGCTATAGTTTCACCTGAGCTAGAGGGCAATTCTGACATCACAGCTTACTGCAACTTCAAACTCCTGGGCTCAAGTGAACCTTCTGTCTCAGGCTTAAAATATGGGTGTGTATTACCATGCCAGCTATTTTTTTTATTTTTCATAGAGGCTTGGTCTCACTGTGTTGCTCAGGCTGGTCTGAAACTCCTGTCCCCAAGCAGTCCTGTTTCAGCCTCCCAAAGTGCTAGGATTGCGGGCATGAACCACTACGCCCAGCCCCATTCCTCATTTTGTTACGATACTGGGCCTTCTTAGGCTTTCTGAACTTTGCCAGGTTAACTGAAAAACATGAGAGCTCATAATATTATGTTGTCTTTATTTGATGGATTTGAGAATGTTTCATATATTTAGAAGCCATTTTGATTTTCTGTGGACTTCAGCAGGGATTTTAAATGGTAGTATAAAAACTTGGCCAGGCATGGTGGCTCACACCTATAATCCTAACGCTCTGGGAGGCTGAGGCAGGAGGCTCCCTTGAGTTCAGGAGTTTGAGACCAGCCTGAACAAGAGCAAGACCCTGTCTCCACTAAAAATAGAAAAACTGGCTCGGCGCCTGTGGCTCAAGTAGCTAAGGCACCAGCCACATACACCTGAGCTGACAGGTTCGAACCCAGCCCAGGCCTGCCAAACCACAATGACAATTACAACAAAAAAATAGCCAGGCGTTGTGGTGTGCGCCTGTAG